AAAGTGCGACTTCTGCTCCGTAAACTTGGCACAAATGAACATTCGTTGATCGCTTTCTGCCAAAACAGTTGGACGATCTCAGCTTTGCCGAAGCGGATTCACAACTTGTCGAAATATTTGGTGAGTCGTCATCACTATTCAGCATTTGCGATCAGTGTCTGAAAATTGGCAAGCGGGACGCTGACAGACATAGTCAACCGTGAATGTGAACGTTTCAAGTTACGCTCTCTGTCCAATGACCAATTCAAGTGTCTCATACTTATCGGTGCCCTACAGTCCATGCAATATGCCGAGAACCGCACAAGACTACTCTCCAAGTTGGATCAAGACCCACACACTACTCTGAAATTCCTAACGGCCGAAAGCAAAAGATTGAAGACTCTGAAACATCACACTGCCATGATCGAGTATTCTTCCCCACAACCACGAAATGTTCATGCTGTGACAGGTTGCAAGCAAAACGGACGTGACAGCTCCGCTCAGAAGTCACAGAACAGACCGTCTACTGCTTGTTGGTCATACCGTAAGTGGCATTTTGCCCGATTCTGCCCATTCAAGAAGTACATTTGCAGTAAGTGCCATAAACGGAGCCAAAAGGAAGAACTCTGCAACAGTCTCCACCAGTGAACACAAAGCCATTTCGCTCTAAGAAGGCCGAAAATACCGTTACCAAACTCCCTGTCAGTCGTTGCTGTCTTCACGAGTGAGCTCAAATCTCGGAGGGGCTTCATCACAGTACTTATCAACGGGTTTCCTTACAGACTGCAGTTTGAAACGGCCTCCGATATAACCATCATTTCTAAGAGCACATGGAATCCTACCAAGAGGCTGTAGGTTGCTGCTTCTGACAAAGTGGCTCACAATGCATCTGATGGAGTGATGAATCCAGTTGGAGGAATCGTCTGCAAAATCGCATTTAACGGGATGAAAAGGACGAAAACATGCTACCTGACAGACAGATCGCATCGAAACCTTCTTAGAATCGACTGGGTCGAGAGGTTAGGACACTTTGATGTTCCTTTAAACCAGATTTGGAGTCGTTATACGCCGATGCCTCAAGCACTGAACGGAGCTTCCGCAACAGAAGCGATGATGAGCAAGAAACTCCGCAAGTCATCCGGTACACTTCGACTAGCTCCTGAGTCCTCGTACGGCGAATGGAACAGAAAAATGGAGCAAGAATTCAATCGGCGGCATAGAGTAAAGCAACGTCCATTCAAGCCCGGAGATTCAGTGCACGCACCCAACTATCGGAAAGATCATGTAGCTTAGACTCCACATGAGATCAAATGTAAACGTTGTGACGTTATTTACGATGTGCTCATTGGATTGCAAACCTGTAATGCGCCATGCAAATCAGCTACGCCCAATGCTGTGCCGGCCAGAAAGAAGGCCAGCCAAGCTGCCTTTCCACCAACTTGGGGATCACTTCAACTTGCCGAAACCCGACAGGGAAGGTTACAGTCAATCAAACGATGCATCTGATAGTCGAGGTCCAACTCCAAAGGTACTACAACCCAAGCGATGGACGGACAGACAGAGAGCATCATCTTCAAGATTGCAAGTCAACTTAAGGTTATCATCCTACACTGCAGCCGCGATCTCAAGTGAGATGCCAGGGAGAGTAAAATCTCCAAGGAAACTGATTAATTCATTGGGGTAACAGGTTGAATCAATGATGTACAACCGAAACGTCAAGTAGTTCCAGAGATCTTCGCGTCCATACGACGTGCGCACCAACCTTCCCATTGGCTAGCGGGCTGGTCCAATAATCAGGACAGCTGGCTTGTTTTAATACGTAAACCTTCTTTGGTTGACTTATAAATGCCCATCGATTTCACACTACTTGTTCCCGTTTCGGTAGCTGGTTCTGCAACAGCTTTTGACTTCAAGTATTGGTTTCTGATTTCCGGTTGAGCTTCGGAGCTGGTAGAGAACGAGTTCAGTTCAACCGGAATCTCTGGCGAAGCGGTAGACCATTACACCTTGCCACCCGTGGCGTGTGTGGGACATCATTCTCGCACTGAAGGGCAGAGTTTAAACTGCAGCCGTCCGTTCAACCCCCTTGTGCAGTTGCAATATCTGACCCATCAGATTGATAAATCTAATGAGGCCATTGGCTTTTGACCACCGGTGCCTACGCAATTTAGTTCGTTTTTGGCGGGAAGGAATGCGTTTGTCGTCCTCTTTTTTGCACAGGATGCGAGTGAGCCGCTCATGACTGGACCACGTGTTCATCACGCTAGTACCTCGACTCTTATTGTATGCGTTTGAGTTTTGTAGGGAGGAAATTGGGGTGAGCTCGGCTGTTGACTTATTATGGCGTAAGGAAGGTCCGTTGGAGCCTTTGATTCCCTTGCTGGGTTCGAAGAACCACAAACACGTTTGGTTAGACACTTGTTGGCTTGATGAAGAGCCGACCTCGGCGTCCTTTATCTAACGAGTTGCTCTGCGTCTCACCTGCTTCTCCTTCCTCGACTTCAGTCTTGATGCATGATATAAAACAAACTATACCTGATTGGAGGGTCATTTTGAAGCACTCGCGTGAATCGATTGCGAGGTGCAATCTCCATGTAGACTGCGATTCGCATTGAAGCGGACCTTGACCAGTTGATCATTGGGATCGTAACTGGTAAAACAGATGAATATTGGGTGTTGCCTGCCCGAAGACACTGCACCCCGCTACCGGTTTCGAACTTAGTAGATCACCTAAGTTCGAAACCGGTCGTGGATTGCAGTGTTTTCTGGTGTGCAATAACCACAGTATAATTCGGTTTTTTGAATTGTATTGCATTGTGATACGGCGCAGTATCAAATGGACTTCTCGCCTCTAGCTACCTTGTCGAATGATAACAGTCTTAATAACCGATTTGGGCGTTAACGTACTTGTCACGCAAACCTGCCCACCAGCGAGAATCTTGCATGTGAACACAGCATTAAGGTAACAATTGCAGTCTGACTGGGAACAACCAAACAAAACGGTGCAAGTCGATAGGGGCAGGCATCCACCATTTTCATACGAGCACAAGCTGCAAAACTCGTGAATGAGTGCGATTCCATGAGATATATCGCAAGGTGTTGCTGCTTGTGTTTTGCCACGCACCTTTGGCAGTGAAAGCTTAAATGAGCATTGCCGATTGAATTGAGTAAGGAAGGTTTACTGAAGATTCACGTTGATTGGTCGCACAGTTTGTTTGCTCCGTCTGCTTTATATAATGCTGGTAATTATCAATCCTCACTTGAGCACGTGGTCGTGCACTAGATCAGAAGACGAATACGCCCGAACACAGCGAGTAGTATTTGTGTTGGTTACATACTAAGCGAACGTAATAGGCTACCGGAAGCAATCGATCGAGCGAAAATGTGATGAAGAGAAACCTACAAGGATGCACACATGTGAGGAGAAGTAAAATAAGCATGAAGCTGTTACAGTGGAGAACTGCAGTTGGGTTTCCACAAAAATGGGGATAGTCTTTTGAGATGTTACTGCTTGTTTACATTTTCATTCGTAGAATACTAAGATGCCATTAACAGCACAGTGTACAGTTGTTTCGTTGCCACGCCACCACCATCGGTCGCGCGAGAACTGGGTATGTCACTAAGTGGTTCACAACTACACAGCTTCGAACCGGTCACCTTAGGATTACAACGTAAACGGTCACCGGCCGATCGAAGCAGTTTAAGTCGCTTACGGACCAGTATTGTGAAAGTTGCCAGTCGAGAGCTAGATTTGAGGCGAATCTTCTTCACTGCTCTCAGTGGTTTGAATTTAAAGATTAGGTATAACTGGCAAGCTATTACGGCTTTGGATGCGGGTTCTTGTCTCATCACAGATCTTCCAATCTGCATTTTACGGTTTGTCGGCTCTTATTGATGAGTCCACTCACCCCATCTCCTCTTACTGTGAATGAATGTTTCTAAACTGCTCGTGCTATACCAAAATTCAACGCCTTTCCTGGAACTCCACTCGCTTCCCAGAAGTTTGTTCATCTTTATGCATTTCATGTGATGCTGTGCACTTGACCAGAAGTCTTGTTGTCCTTAATTGTTGCATTTTACTTACATCTTTGTACTTTGTCGCACATGCTCTCACTCTGATTCAACCAAAATCAATGTACGCCTACATCGATGTTTACTTCGATGCTGCCAATAACACGTTCTATCCTTTCGATTGTCAACGATCTCATTATGATCTTTTTATATGAAGTAAATTCGTGTGTTGTGTTGATTGCTGACCAATGGCCTAAATGATCATAGCCTGATTTGTAATCCGGAGGTCATGGGTTCGATCCTGTGTAGGGGACCCGGCGACCCTCGCAGTATGTTTAGCGCACGTGCGATTGTTGGTAGTTGCGCGGCAGCAAAGTCTCGGTACTGCATACCGGTGTACTGCTGATGCCTTTTCTTCTCCTTTTGGTTGGGAGTCTTATAGTCTACAGGGCTATGTTGAACTCTCCATTCGTCGCATTCTAATTGACAACTACTTCCGTGGTATCGCAGTCTACGTGTTTTTGACCGAACTTACTGTTACCCACCGTCACCAGAAACTGTTATGTCGCCAGCTGACTGTTCACGCACCCACGACCGCAGGAAGAACACGCCAATCAGCCAGGACCGAGTTCTTTTACACGAGTAATCTGCTCATTTAAATGAGGTACAGCAGTAGTGAAGCCAGGCTACTAAAACACGTTGGAGCCAACCATCAACGTAGGCGACACTAAATATTGCAGGCGAATAAGTAGTGGTAAACTTATGAACCAATCATGCGAGTTCGAGAAAATAGCATTAGCGGAAGGAGACCCTTGAGATGACATCCATTTCGAACGAAGTGGGCCGGCCAATGGACTCAAAGTATTGATGCGTTTAAACAAATGTCAATAAATCATCGGTAGCTAAACACAATCGGGTATCTAAGCATTGTAACAGAACCTATATGTCCACTTCTCAACTTCCTAACACTTATCTACCGATTCATTTTCCGTGCTATCTATTTTACGCAGCCCACTGTCACAGCAGCAGCACAGTGTTGCGAGCATCGGCAGTCTCCTCGGCGGACTGCAGGCACAGAAGGATCACAGCACACAGTCCCACGGAACGTCCGGTCAATCTAATTCCGGCTTGCAGCAGGGACTATCTGATCTGCATAACCCTGGTAGTGTTCCCGGACGGACACCATATACTCCGAACACATTGACCACTCCCCTCCATGATCGAGACAGTGGAATCCCTAAACCACAACTACAGTGAGTTCCCAGCCTGCTTTCTACTAAACTAGATGTGTTGACAAGATCACTTTGTATTGGATTTCTTCGTTCATTGGAAGTATTTCGTGGAAATTTAGCTGCAGTTCAGTTTCATTACTGATTCTGAATTTTTAGACCAGAAATACTTGTGTTTTCATCGCTTGATTTCGGCAATCTTGCTATCGCCATTTTCTCCAGCAATTGGCCGCCATCTCGTTTCCGGATTATTTACAATGCTGAAGCAATCACCCTGTGGTACTTACTCCAAAGTAGTCGGATACCGTGCAAATGCCCTCACGTGTGTTTTGTGCCAAGTTAAATACCATATTTCATGTGTTAGATTATCAGTTGAGCATTTTCATCATCTTCGTAAAATTCAACACGATTTTGTTCAAACTTTATGTGAAAATTGCCTTAACAAGATATAGCCAAGAAGAGTAAAGCGACGTGTAGTCTTCATCATTCCGTTGCGAACAGCTCCGTGTGTTTGGCCCAACAACCTAGCCCGAAGAGCCTTCAGGTTTCAGCTCAGTCTTCCTCCTCTACCCGTGCAAACTCACCTGCACGAAGTCCAACTGTTGTGAGAAGCCCCGTTTCACCTGGCATAATTTGTTTGCCTTTGTTATGTTCAACGGGCACTGATGTCCCAGCACGTGAAAGTCTGAGTGCTGAAAACCAGTGGAAAAAAACAAAGAACGAAATTACGAAGGGATGTTGGGTGTTTAACTTCCGTAACTCAACAGTTAGCCAAACCACGTGCGGCTGGTAATATACTTCGCCCTGCAAAGTAAACCTCATCCGACCAGAGGCGTCATAACCTCGTGATCTTCCACGCGCCGGAGTCCAGTGATCCACCACCCTAAGTGCGCTACGATCACGGTCTCGAGTTTTTACAGTTTAATTAACAGTCTCCTCGACACTGGTGAGGACTCGGTAAATGTGAGGCAAATAACCCGTCTTGGAAAGCAAGGTGATCGACAAAATCAGCAAATGCGAATCACTTTTGTGGACGGGGCCAGTCCAAGTCTGATCATGTCCCGCCTAATTAGGCTGAAAGGTTTGAAGATCCATGTTCGTCCAAACCTAGACCCAGTAAACAGGGAGCGGCTCAAGTCTGCCATCATTGAGCTGGAAAGACGTACTGGTGAGGGGGAAACAAACCTTCCTTTCGTAAATTTTCGGGTGGTTTCCAAAATCTGTGAACCAGGATAAACAGGCTGCTCACATTCCAAGCACGCCCGGCGGCTCCTGCTGCGGCTTGCGAGTAGGCTTCACAAAGGGTTGCAGTGTTATGAACAAGCGCGATGAGCTTTGTTGTTTCGTTGCGTCTGAGCGGCCAGCCATAGTGGGATTCGCAGAGACATGGCTGCATGCAGAGTTATACACCTAGGAACTTTAACTCGAGGGTTATTCGTGCTCCTGATGCGATAGACTAACGAATGCCCGCGGTGGTGTCTTGCTTTACATCCGGTCTTCCCTGCGTGGGTGACTTGTGAGCACCTACCGAAGTGACGATGATTTGTGTGAGTTACTGTGGTGCTCCATCCGCCCCAGGCACGAAGAACTACTTGTGGGCGCAGTTTATCGCAGCCCCCTGAGTCGTTGTTTGGATTGGCTGCCCCATCTTCCAAACCACATGAGTTGTCCACACTTTTTTAACTGTCTTCGAATACGACGGCCTGATATGCATTTGATACCTGGACATAGTGAGATTGAAGCAAAGTTCGTGGATTTGGTACTTGAAACTGGTGCATCGCAACACATATGCCAGCCAACACGCATAGCCGCACGCTCAACACCGTCCTATCTCGACCTAATGTTAACGAGCTAGGAACAACGAGTGCGTGACGTTCGGATCCTGGAGCCCCTGGCTACAAGCGACCACTCAGTGCTCATAGGTGATATGGAATTATCTTTGCCGTATTCACGTCCGCTGGAACCAGCTTACAACTACTGGAAAACAGACTTCGAGCCGCGACCCAATTGGACTGGTCTCTATCACAAGCTGCATCTATGAAAGACTGTTGGATATTTATAAACGAGAGATTGACACAATTGTGTTCCTAATTTGTGCCCTTGAAATATCGGAAGGTTGGACCGATTAAGCCTCATTGGTTTGACAAGGGGTGTTGAAATCTGGCTCGGAGGCGGCGCAGACTGTGGGACAGATTCCTCCTCTCCGGCTCTGCCAATGACTACGAAGGGTATAAAAGTCAGCGGAACCACTGCAATAGTGCAAAAAGGAATAAGCGCCGACATTTCGAAGAGCAGCTCGCATTAGCCGCGAAGACCGCCCCAAAGAGAATCTTTGCTTACGTGAAGCTATGCCTTACGTCGGCAGGTGATGTGCCAATGCTAGATGGCCCAGCTAGACAGCCCCTAACCTTCAGCACTGAGCCTGCGTCCGCGTTGGCGGCGCACTTCGCTTCTGTATTTGCAAATGACCAGATGTCTGTTCCGAGTTCGACATGTACCGCACTTACCGAACTCGACAGTCTGGATTGCGGCGTTGAAGAAGTATGTCAGCTACTTGCCAGCCTTGGCCCTTCCCCACCTTTCTACAATAGTCGCTTGTCTTCTAGTTTCAACTCACACACGGTCGCAGAGCGTCGCCCCAAACCAGTCGACAAGTCCATGTTCAACCAAGCGGACAACGTCGATTCATCTGTTTCCCTTTGGAGTCCTCGCGTCTCCCTAAGACTGGCATACCTCAACGTGCGCACGTTGCTACAGGTTGACCAACAGGCAGCACTTGCCCGCACACTAGAGACCCTTTCGATCTATATTTGATGTTTAGCAGAAGCCCACCTGCAAGATTCGAGCTCCCTGGTTACCCTGCGATCCGCCACATGCAGCACTGGTGCCACATTCTCATTGCGCCTGGCTGGCGATGATGCAGCTTCAGATGCCGGTCAAGCGGGCGTCGGTATTCTTTTGAGTCTCCGGGCTGAAGCTGCCCGGATCGATTAGATTCCAGCCAACCTTTGTATGTGCGCCGTTAGATTAGCTGCTTCGTTCCATACTACGAAGTTGCGATGGAACAAACGGTGTTTGTTTGTCATTGCGGCCTCTGCCCCTACAAAATGTAGCATTGATTCGGTAAAAGACGCTTTCTATCAACAATTGCACTAGCTCCTTCGTTACAAAAGTAGCACGGCTACTGTGATGTTGGCTGGCGATCTAAACGTTCAAATCGAGAAATTGTCTTCTGATGAGCTTCATCTGGGCGGCTAACATGGTGTAGTGATAATGATAACGGTGAGCGATTGCTACAGCTGTATGAAGATGCTCGTCTCCTACTCGCGAGCACAAACTTTCGGCACAACACCCGTAGAAACGTGGCTTGACGCACGCCAGCCATGGACGCAAAGCGATCATATATATATATATATATATATATATATATATATATATATATATATATATATATATATATATATATATATATATATATATATATATATATATATATATATATATAAAATACACAATCTGTGGTACAGATAGTGTGCCATCGGAATCATGGCTGAATAGGAAAACAATATGAATAATAAGAAAAGAGCAACAACAAATGCGTTATTGTCTATTTTACCACTCACAGTTTTTGAAATTTTTTCAGTTTGTTCTTTTTTAGAGGGAGGAAAAAGGGACAACGCAACAAACCGATGCACACGTCTGCCATTGACATCGATCTTGAGCCATAACTTCCAAGATCTTAAACCAGCAAATATCCGTATCTCTCGGACCCCAACCAGGTAGTCGACAACAACCGGCCGAGGCCAACTATTTCGTCAGCTTTTTCATGCCGCTTCTTCATGTTGTAGGCTGTCCACCAGACCGTCTCTTCCAGCTCTGTCCAACAAGTGTAAACAACGCACGACGGGGGTAACGCTGGACAGGCATGCGCAATACGTGTCCCAACCCCCACAGTTGATGCAGTAAGACGAGCTCCTCGAGCGAGTGGCTTCCAAGTCCCAAGACACGCTGTCTAACTTCCACATTGCTTACGTGGTGCTGCCACCACACACGGGCAATGGACTGCAGACAGCGATGCTCAAAGACAGATAGCCTGCGCAAGTTATCTTTACGAATGGGCCAGTTCTCGCATCCGTACAACAGTAGAGTACGAACAGTTGCACAATAGACCCGCCCTTTGATGGAGAGACGAATGTCGTGGCGACGCCACAAATGTCTCAGCCTAGAAAAAGCGAGGCCTGCTCTCGAGATGCGCATTGAAATCTCGTCTCCAACAGCCCCGCCAGCAGTGATGCAACTTCCCATGTAGACAAAGCTCTCCACAACCTCTAGTGTCTCACCAGCAAGCGTGAGTACAGGCAGAGGCACCTGCCAGTCTTGGAAGAGAGTCTTGCATTTGGATGGCGAAAATTACCTACCATACTTTGATACCTCAATCGCCAAACGGTTTAATGCAAGTTGGACGACGTGTGGGTCGTCACGCAGCAAGACGATATCATCAACATAATCCAAATCAACAACTCGACTACCTGGGAGGAGCTCAACGCCAGCATTCAACGAATCGCCTAGAGCGTTCTTCAAGACATCCTCAATGGCAAAGTTGAATAGGAACGGAGAGATAGGGCATCCTTGTCGAACTCCACTGGAGACCCAAAGGTAGGCGAAAGCTTGCCATAAGCCCTAACTCTGCCTGAGGTCAGACTATGGAGAGCGCGCAGTATGGAGACGAACTTCTCGGGGACACCATTCCTCAGTAGACAGTGCCACAGTGCCGTACGATCGACAGAATTGAAGGCTGCATGGATATCCAGGAACACAGCAATCGTTGGCCTCTGATACACATGTCGGAGCTCGAGGATCTGGCGAAGTGTGAAGATTTGATCGATGCAGCCGCGACCAGGGCGAAACCCAGCTTGTTCTTCTCGTTGCAACGTTTCGCGTGTTGGGGATAGCCTGCGAAGTATGATGGACACCAGCAGCTTACAATCGACGGGGACTAAACTTATTCCTCTGTAGTTGGAGCAGATT